TTTTTTTTTTTTTTTGGGTGACCTTTTTTCAGTTTGTTTACAGTTTATTCTAACTTGTAACAAATGAGTAAACCAAATAGTTCTAAATTTGAACTTTCTTCTACTATAGAGGGATTAAACTCAGGTGTTTGTATGTATCTCTTTAAGTGTCATTATCTCCAAGGTTTATATAATGCTCAATTAGATTATCAGGAAAAATTTGTGGGGACAGCATTGATAGGAAGTATAAAGTGAAACACTAAGAGCATCCACAATGCTTTGAGTTCAATTACAAAAAATTATATGCCACCTAAGAAATAGACAGTTTAAAAAACGTATTTTCCAATGCAAACAAAAGTAGACTGGGTTATGCTGACATGACAGCCCAAAAAAGACACTCGGTCTACCCTTAAATCTATTTTAGACCGAAAGTCTATTTTAAACCCAAGTAGAGACCTAGTCTTTTTGCATTGGAGCGGATTTTAACAATTTTGCATAATTTTATCCATGTCATCAAAGAGTTAGGTTTATTTACATGCCACATAGACAAGACTAGACTCAATGCATTGTAGATGCTCTAAACAAAATAGAAATGAAGTGATTATTAATACACCAAAACAAAAATCACATCATATAACTGATAATGAATCATAAATCTCTATAGATTAGAGGAAAGAAACCTCCCAAAAAACAGATGCTTTTGCCCTCACTACAAAGTTCAAACACAGAAAAATAAAAAAATAGGTTCTCCCATTTCAAGTTTAACTCCTTTCCTTTCTTTTTCATCAACTATTTTTACCCCCAAAAGGGGGAAAATGAACAAAAAATAAATAAAATGTATCCCCTCATGTTAAAAACCATGAAAACCTGTACAGTAAGCCACAAGAATCAGCAGGAAAATATCAAAAAAAGAAAGAAACTCAGCCAACCAAACACTCCCTAAAATTCGTCCGTAAAAGATCAACTTCCGGTTGGCATCCGGCATCTTTTCCCCCTTTACTATAAAACACTTTTTGCGCGTAAAAAATCAAGTAACACTGTGAGGCTCTAACCACGTCATCATCAACTTCTGTCACCCAAGCATCATCACATTTATACCATTGATCACTCAGTCGCAAGTAGGTCACGTAATGTCCCGATTCCAACATGCCCGAATGAGTAACCACCGCAAAAACCTCAAACTCAGCCGAACTACTATCAATTTCCTCACCCTCGAATGAAAAAACTCTGTTCCCAAATCTTTTCTTGATTATCGAGGAGGATAAATACGGGCCCATGTCGAGTGAAAATGGGAACTTCAAATGGCGGTCGATTTTTCTCGACATTCTTCGAGTAGCCGAGTGCTCGAATCGTTTTATATGCAGGCATAGAACTAACGGAAGCTTCTCGAGTGACAATTGTTTCAATGCGTTTTGCTTCTCTCGACAATTTTCACAGTACAGCTTCTGGTCGGGTTCTAACTTCTCGGGCCTTGTGAAGTGATCCAAGCAGTTTGCAAGGGAAGGTGTTGGTAAGGCCTCGTTTGGCTTGCTCGTGGAGTTTTTCAAAAAAGGCCCGTTTGTATTTAAGTCGAGGGATATGTCGATATATGGGTCGTACGTTGAGGAAGTACATCCACAAGATGTGCACGTTACGTCCGATCTCAGTAAACCCGAAAAAGCTCTATGTGCAATACATTGGCAGTCCCGGTTTTCTGGGCAAAATATCGATTCTTTGTTTAGAATTCAGAGAAAGATCATATGTAAATGACCAAATGCAATATGTAAAATTTGCGAAAAATACGAACATACGAAGAATCCCTAGTAAACCCGTTTTACTATTGCTTAAAGCTCTCTGTGCAGATGGACAGTCTCTCTCTATCATATAACAAAGGTATGTGATGTTTTTACACTATCTCAATCTTATATACAATGTAAATTAAAATTACCTTCGTTTTTCGGACTGTCTTTACCCAATTTCTCATGGATCCTGTCCAGCATTGAAATAAAAAATTCGTGTGCATCTTGCTGCTCATAACCAGCCAGATTCTTCGAATGCTGCCACCAGCTGAAAATGGAAAAATAAATACTCAATCAAACAAGCAATCTCATACAAAACAGCAATTCATAAATTGCTACATCGTATTTCTTTTTTACTTTGTACATTCAGTTGATTATAACATAGCACGATGAGAAGTATGATAATTCACATTAGATAAGACACCATATTCTCTTCTTAGTCCCAAGGGAAGAAGGACTCATCTCATTACAGCAAAACAGAAGATGGATCATTACACCTAAAAGAAGATATATATGATCAAAATTAAATTACACAAATCCCACAAAATTATCAAACCTGTAAAGAAACTTTGCAGGACTATACGGTGTGCGTTCGCCCGAAAAAACAGCCGAAAAAACAACATCCACATCACATGGCAAACACAATTGATTTTGATCCACAGAGCTTCTCTTTCTGCAGATCTCATGGTTATGCCTATCACTAAGAAAATAGTCCCTCAAAGGCGGGGCGTGAACTAATGCTTGCAAAACCGAGTTCATAAAACAAGTATTTCCTAAGTTGTTCAATCCCCTCAACCCCAATGGCACACATGATTTGGACCTTTGTTTTACTTTCCTCCTAAAAACCAGCCTTTTCGCACTTTTCGGACCCGAATCACCCGCAAAATCCAATCTTTTCCTCTTGCTCGCCCTTACCGTTACGTTCTTACACACCACACTCTTATCGAAATCAGGATCATACACTTGATCACAGCAAGCACAGCAATAAAGCTCAGCCCTTTCAATGTCTACAAGGATTTCATGGCTGACGAAAGATCTACCATGTAAAAAGGCATGATTTGATTCAGGGTTTCTACAGCAGGTGACTGATGAACAGATCAAGCACATAAACAATCTGCCTTGGTGCCCAGAACAAAAGCTGCATCTGGGCATCTCAGATTTGGGGTTATAAATCAATGTTCTTCCATAGGGGCTGCAATTAAACAAATCTTGGATCAGATTATAGTTCTGCAAGCCATTTTTCAGCTTAAAATTCAGCAGATGCTCGCATGGCTTAGGGATTGTGTGGGGAGGATTTGCTGACATATCAATAAAATAAAATAAAATAAAATAAAATAAAATAATCAAGAACTCAGTAAAATCGGATAAGGTACACAGAAAATTATTGAAACAAATCAAATAAATCAAAGAATGGTGAAAAAAAAAAACAATCAATCAACACCAAAAAAATAAAAATAAGAAGGGGTTGATCTGATTAATTTGTTAACAGCACAAAATAAAATAAAGCACAGATTATTATGCTAACTGTGAATTTATCTTTGTTTTGATGAACAAACAAAAAAAAGAAAAAATAATAATAATGAAAAAGGTGATGAAAATAATATATAATGGAAATGAACAGAGGCTCTCAGCAGCAGAAGAAAGAAGGCTTGATCGACGGATCGTGTGGGAGTTCATCAGAGACCGACGGATCGTGTGGGAGTTCATCAGCAGAAAAAATAATAATAATGAAAAAGGTGATGAAAATAATATATAATGCTAACTGTGAATTTATCTTTGTTGTTGTTCATCAGAGACCGACTCGTATTTTCTGATGTGGGAGTCCACATGTTCCCTTACTTTGGGGATTAGATCTCAGCCGTTGAAAAAGGCTTGATCGACGGATCGTGTGCCAGTAGGCATTTTGATTGATAATCTCAGCCCTTTATTTCCCCTCTTTTATTGCTATCCCTTTGCTTTAATCTTTATTTTTTATTCAATTGGATGAGCACACTTGAGAAATCTAATTGATGTTAGTATGAAATATTAATAAATAAAGTTATAAATATGACATTTCATCATAAAATTATGTAAATGTAAAAGTACTAAAAGAAAAATGATTGTCCAAAGACTAAGACATCAATTTCAATATGTAACCGGTAGATTCTTAAATAATATTGCGTAATTAAGTCCCCGACTAGGGAAAAGAAGAATACTATTGATCATCCTTTTAAAAAAAAAAATCGCGTAATCTAAATATAAAAATACAAAGTCGAATCTTTTATCAATTATGTGTTAATTTATGATATTTCGTAATCATAGATGTTTGTATTTTGAAATCAAATTATGTGTTAATTTATGATTTTTATAATCATACATGTTTGTGTTTTGAACTAATTCATTTAGAGTCGGATTTATAATAATGTAGAACTTTGAATTTATTAAAAAATAAACTATTTTTAAATGCAGATATATTATAAATCTCTTCAACAAGTTTAGTAATGAACATAAAGGCCTCGTTGTTCCGATGGAAAACACAATCGAATTTACAATAATGTAAAACTTTGAAATTATTAAACAATTACTTATTTTAAAATATAAATATATTATAAATGTTAATATTTTATATTAATCAGCACGTATCGGTGTGACATTCATATTGGATACATCTAAAAATATTTTCGTTTACTCTATGATAAGAAATAAATTAAATTATTTGTCAATATTCATTGATAAATTACGAAATTATTTATTTATCAGTTAAATAAATGTATCTATGGAATCCTTTATTATTATGAATTTAAAAAAAATAATGATATTATTAAAATAATAAGGTGTTGAATCTCATTTTAAGGATAAATAATAATATTATTTTATTACCTATTTAATACTTGAAAAACATTTATTTTTATTTTTCAAATTTATTAGTTTTTGTCCACAAAACCTAGCTCCTCCTCAAAGCTCCTCCTCCGCTGGCCACCATCTTCCGCCCTGTCTCCACCGTCGCCACCATGTTTTCCTCCTTTTCACCTTAGATTTTTCCAGCACATCCCTAGCTTCCGGCCACCAGCTATACCTTGAAAAATATCGATTCTCATCTTTTCTTTCTTCTCTCATGCAATCGTTTTCTGCAATTTCAAACGGAGCTCATGTCTAACCTCTTTTCATGTTTCTTTGGTTTTTCCCTAGCAATGTTGATCCTCCGCAGGTTCAAAGCCTCCCATTATCACGCAGTAAGTTCACTATGCTTCATTTCTTCTTCGTGCTATGTATTATCAGGAAAGGTTTTGACTTGGGCGGCAGCTCAAATTCTGCGCTCCCGCTGCTCGTTTTCGACGGATTCTAGTTTTGTCGATTTTTACGGGTTTTTCAATCGGGAGACAATCACGAAGATTGTGAAAGAGGAGAGGTGGAATGATTTTCGACTGTTGAGGTTATTCGAATCGGAATTAGCCCCTCTCTGGGTTTCCAAAATATTGGTGGAGCTTAAGCAAGATCCTGCATTGGCTTTGAAAGTGTTCAGGTGGGCCGAACAGCGAAATGGGTTTCGACTCACAACAGAGAACTTCTGTGTGATTGCTCACATTTTGTTCTGTTCTAGAATGTACCCAGATGCCCACAATGTTCTCAAACAACTAGTTACTCTGCACCACAATAGTGAAAGTGACAATAAAATGTATACTTGTTCTATTGTCTTGGATGTTCTGTGGTCAACCAGGAATGTTTGCTTTCCTAGTTATGGTGTGTTTGATGAGTTATTTAGCGTATATGTCGAGCTGGGCTTGCTAGAGGAAGCTAGGGAGTGTTTCTTAAGGATGAGAAAGTTTAGAGTTATTCCTAGAGTGTGGTCTTGCAATATTCTTCTGCATAAGTTTTCAAGATCAGAAAATGGGGTCTTGGCAAAAAAATTCTTTAGTGATATGGTTGGGGCTGGGGTAAGCCCTTCTGTTTATACATACAATATTTTGATTGGTATTTTGTGCAGAGAGAGAGATTTAAAAGGCGCGAGAAGCTTGTTTGGTACAATGAAGGAAGTAGGCATAACCCCTGACGTCATTACTTATAATTCGCTGATTGATGGCTATGGAAAAATGGGCGAATTGTTTGAGGCGGTTTTTATATACGAGGAGATGAAAACAGCTGGGTGTTCCCCCGACATAATTACGTATAACACATTGATTAACTGCTTCTGTAAACACGAGAATTTGCCAAAGGCTTTTGAGTTCCTTAGGGAGATGAAGGAAAATTATATTAGACCAAATGTTGTAACTTACAGCACGTTTATAGATTCTTTTTGTAAAGAAGGAATGTTGGATCAGGCTATTAAATTTTTTGTGGATATGCGGCGGGTAGGTCTCACTCCTAATGAATACACCTATACTTCTCTTATGGATGCTAGTTTTAAAGCAGGAAATACTGATAATGCCCTTAAGTTTGTGAGGGAAATGCTAGAAGCTGCTATAAGGTTAAATATTGTTACCTATACGGCTTTAATTGATGGTTTATGTGAAGGCGGGAGGATAAAGGAGGCTGAGGAGGTTTTCGAGGCCATGCTTAAAGAAGGGGTGGTGCCTAATGAGAAAATGTACACAGCTCTCATGCATGGATATATTAAAGCCGAAAGAATAGACGATGCTCTGAGGATTATGGGAAAAATAAAAGAAAATAACATTGGGCCCGACTTAGTTTTCTATGGGAATTTAATTTGGGGGCTTTGCAATGCGGGGAGGTTCGAAGACGTGAGTTCACTGTTGGATGAAATGAAGGAACGTGAGTTAGAGGCTAGTGAAGTAATATACACAACGCTTATAGATTCCTATTTCAAGGCAGGAAAAAACGTGGAGGCTCGAAACTTGGTTAGTGAAATGCAGGAAAAAGGTGTGAGTCTCACGACTGTAACTTACGGATCGTTGATTAACAGTTTATGCAGATTGGGACGTGTCGATGAGGCGATCGATTATTTTAATCATATGAAAAGTTGTGATTTACAGCCTAATGTTATTGTTTACTCGTCGTTAGTTCATGGCCTCTGCAAAAACGAGCGCATAGAGGATGCTAAGAAGTTTTTCTCAGAAATGACCGAGATAGGCTTGATCCCAGATATAATTGCTTACACGCCGTTGCTTATGGGGACCGTTAAGCAGGGAGATTTTCGGGAGGCTTTTGATCTTGTAAAAAGAATGAGTGAGGGTGGGGTCGGGCTCGATCTTCACGTGTACACGTGTTTGATTTATGGGCTCTCCAAATGCGGTCGGGTTCACGAAGCAAGGGATTTGCTATCGCAGATGATCGAAAGGGGAGTCAAGCCGGATGAAGTTGTTTATGGCTGTCTCGTTCGTAAGTATCACGAGCTTGGCAAAACTGAAGAAGCCGATGCCTTGTTGAATGAGATGACGGAGAGGGGTCTTGGCCCTATTAAAACTGAACTGCTGGCCAACGATTTAAAGACTTGAATTGGACATTGAAATTCTTTGGTTCCATTTGATCAATTGGGTCACGAGAAGTTGAGACTGGGAATTGGCTCGATTTCCAGATTGCTGTGAGTGATAAGAGTGGTAAACATTTTTTTTTTAAAGTCCTGTTATAAATGCCCCCTGAAGTCTCCTGTTTGAATTCTAGGCCACCTGAGGTTTTTCTAAATTAGTCTATAGCTGATTGGTGGATTTTGTATTTATACCTTGAATACAATATCTTAATCATTTGCTTTCGAAAAAAAAAAATGTGGAAACTGTCCTGGGATTTGCACTTATTGTGTCACTGAATTGTACTTCAAGCAACTATACAGCACCGTTTGTGTTGTTGTGTTAGCTCTTCCACTTGTCAATATTATGTTTCGGGGTCTCTTTATGAGTTTGCCAAGGGACCGTATTAGTGTTGTGAGTAAAATATGTAGCGGTTATATTCGAGTATTAGAGATAAACCCACAATGTCCATTTTCGTTATTACACACACGTACGCACTTACTGATGTCGTTATTCCTCTTTCGTAGTATCATATGAAGAAATGCCGAAAGAAACATCACCAAAACTCCGATGGTCTCATCAAGTGCTGCATGAGAAAACTCAAGCAACTACAATTGTTGGCGAGTACGTGCTTCTCTTTAGTTTTTGCTCACTACATCATTTCATTTCCTTTTTCGCAACTTTTGCACTATCAAGATTAGCTTTCTAATAATGTTGCCTGTTGGAAGGCTAAGTTGTTATAGCTAATACTTATATTTTCTTCTAGTGATCTCAGGCTAATTGCAATTTATTGTTGTGTGCGCGTGTCTGTGTTTGTTTCGAATTTTATTGGAACTACACATCTGCATAGTTAACACGATTCCTAGAGTTCATCATTTAACTTCTGTATTGCAGCTTCTCATGATTTGCCTCTCAAGGTCCGGTTTACTCGTCCGCACAAGAGTCTATTGCCGATTGAATGATGATGTTGTGTCCAGCAGAAATCAACTGCAACTCTGAAAGCCATGGAACATACACTATATACTGATTCTGGCTCTACTCTAAGCTATGTTGAGACTTGAGAGTACAGAAAGATTCACAATAAATGTGTATACCTCATTTTTTATCATTTATATTGTGAAATATTTTCTAACAGCTAATTCATGAAAGGATTTACATTACGGTCATTTTATAGATTACAAATTAGAAGACAGTATTTTCACATGAAAAAATAATATATTACTGTTCATCAGTCCAGATTTTAATTGGGATGACTCATTCTGGTCTGCAATATAAATCAAAGAACAAACACCCATAACAAGTTAACAACAAACACCTGGTGATCTTAAAGTTCTAAACAAGCTGATGAAAAGAAAAAAACCTACACAATTTTTTTGGCCTTCTCAAAATTTGAGCCACTTCTTCTCCTTCTCCTTCCTAGAGACTGCATTCGAGGTAGAAGCACGAGCTGCCTCAGCACCTGCAAGAGCTTTTCGTACTTCGTTCAGCTTTCTCATGGCCGCATCATGCACGACTTTCTCTTTCCTATTCCGTTGGGCCATCTCCTCCAACCTGTCGGCCTGGGCCCTAAGGTTTTTCACCTCGTCTTCACGGGCCAGCAAGGCCCGCCTATCCTCTTTCTTGAATACATCTTCATCCACCTCGTTTTTCCTCTTCCTCTCTGAACCACCACCAACCAAACTTCGCCCATGGGCTGCCAGCTGGCTGTTGATGAGGCTAAAAACATCTTTCGAATCTTCTTCATCCTGGGCCGCGTTAACGTTTGCCGCCAGCTTCTTGTCACGTATTCTCTTCCCGCCCCTCGTCCGCTTCTTTTTTACCCCCATCTCCTTATTTTCACTAATTTTTTTATTATTATTTTTAACCACGTAATCAAGAGATTGCTTAGGTGGAAGTACTTTTACCGGGATGGGGTCCACTATACCTTGCCCGGATGCACCGAGACCCATCCCCTCACGATAGCCCATGCTCGCCATCATTTTAGAGGCGATCCCCCGCGTGTGATTTTCCCACTTGGCGAAAATAGCTGTTTCGGTTTGGACACCTCTCCGCAAATTCGTGCTTTCTATAAATCCCAGACCTTGTTGCCAGCTGTCATCGTCTTCTTCTTCGTACTCGCTCGAATCCAAAAGGTCTGAACTCGTGTCGGTTTCTTCTTCTTCGCCGCCGCTTACCTCAGCGTATTCGGATAACGCGATCGATTCAGCTTCAAGATTTTTCGAGGTGCCGTCGTCTCGAAAAATGACCTGGCCCGTTTTCAGTTCATCGTCCCACGATTCGAGCTCGGCTTCTCTCCAGATACCACTGCCTTTGGGGTCCGGGACGGCCCATACGGTGGAACCCACCAGCGTTTGCTCCCATGTAGTGGATTTGTACGTTTTTAGGGAAGATAATGGGACGTCAATGCCTGAAAAGAATTGTATAAAAAAATGGCACTGTCAATTGAGATTGCGCATACAGGAAAATTTTGGGCAGGAAAAAAGCACTTTAGATAAGTATATTCCATGCACAACCTAAATTGTTTGAAGATAGCTGAAGAAGAAAAGGTGGAGGTGAATGAGTCTATCATTCAGCCAAAAACAGGTAGAATATTTTGCGTTGATTTCAAAAAATTCAAGCAACTTCATACATTGGCCATACGCCTCGTTATTGGACACGATACACCAACAGGACAAAGGAACAAAATAAATTAGATGTTAAAATAAGAAGGAAGAAAGAATAAACAAAGGGGACATTAAGTTTGTTCAACTTTATTTTTTGTTTTATATTTTCTCCACAAAATTCAACATACCATGTGATAAGCGGCAACTACTACCAAATCGACACCGTTTCTGTAGAAAGAACTTGCACATCTGCACTAGGGTGGTTTAACATTAGTATCAGAATAGAGCAGGAAATTAATATCTTGGTATTGATTTTCATATTAAAGTCTAAGCTCAAGAAAAGTTCTTATAGTCAAAACTGCAATAATATTAGATTTGCATGCCCGTTGGTTACAGATAGAGAACGGAAATAGTACTATTATTTTGAATGATTTGAAGGAAGCTGACCAGAACTGCACCAGAAAAGAAAAAAGATCGGCCACTCTTCATACCTGGACACATAATTAAGCCAAAACTATTTTCAAAGGTTTTCATTCCGCCTAGTTAAGCATATGCAATATACTCAAATCAAAATTATCATGTAATCAAATATCAAAACTCTCCTTCTACTGAACCAGTCTAAAACAATCGACCAAGAAAATTAAATGAAAAACAGCAAATAGGAATCAAGAAGTAGTTAACCCACCAACATGCTTTCAGATGTTGGAGTAAGGAAAGATATCTTTGCAGATTCGGAACCTTCCAGACCAACAACTTGCCCATCATACCACCGTCCATTGGTATGGCGGAATCTACATTTTGATCCAACGGAAAAGCTTTCATACGCCAATGGTTCAGCTTCGGCACTCATTGGGTCCAAAGGCTCCAGTTTGACATCAACGCTAACCGAGTCTTCCAAAATGGAATCAGCCTCCCGGAGCAATCTTGCCTTTTTCAGATGGAAGAGTCCCTCCTCAGCTTCTTTGATGGACTGAACAAGCTCTAAATGAATCTACAAAGAATGTGGACAAATCAATCCAAAGGATGCTTTAAGGGTCAAAATGAACTATCACCGCATAACAATTCAACCGCTCCAATCCTTTTGGATTAAAAAAAACAGCAGGCAAGTTGCAAAGTCATTGGAAGATCCGAAGTTAATAGTTGTTGAGCTACATAGGAAGATGGTCTACACGTCTAATAAAACAATACACACTATAATATCTCTTTTCTTGCACCGTAAGGATTATCATCTCAATATGCAGAATTTATGCATCCCAAAGGGTCATTCGGCAAACTTGATTAAGAATAAACCTTAGAAATGATTATGCATTAGAGAACACGCACTGAAAACAAAGAAGAAATATACGGTACAAGTCGTTTCGGAGGCAGAAGATCGATCACGTAGATAGTTAGTACATTGTAAGCATGAATTGGAATGAGAAACAAAGCTAGGTTATAATGGGATTAAAATCCTAAATCAAGTCGAAACAACCAACATAGCAAGCAACAGTACAGTATCAAACAAAATAAACTGAAATATACTCTATTCACATTTTCCATTGAGTACAAAAACGAAAAGAGAAACAAACAAACAGAAAAGAAAAACTTTTTACTGTCATACCCACAAACAATTTTGTCAAATTTCATAACAAAGCTAATTAGGAAAAAAAACAAAAAAAAAGAACGCTCTTGAAATCATAACAGCTAAACGAAACACACACACGCACACACAGATCAGGTGAGCATATAACATCCATATAAGGATATGTATTAGGTACAGATCGAAGGAGGGTACCGAAAGAAGCTCGGGATTCGAGGTGTCGACGGCGAGGGCGTCGGCGACGGCGGCGAGAGATTCCTTCTGTTCGTTGAGCTGAAAATGGAGCTGCTGTTCCAAAACCCTCTCGTCCTCTTCATCCGCCATGGCAGTCGGCCCGTGTTCTCTGCGTTTGCGCGATTGTCCCCTCAACGAGAGATGGGATTTTCGGAAGAGCAAAAGAATGACGCTTTGTGAGACATTCTAGCGATTTTATATGTAATGTGCCTCATAATTCTTCTATTTATTTTCTCCTTTTTTTTCTTTACTTTTCTTTTGTGTTAATTTTATTTTATACTAACCAAACGAATTGGTCATAGAATGAGCTCAACTCACACTTGTTAATTTGAGATCGTTTAAAATATGGGATGGTAACGAGCTTGTGTGAATATTTTATATCTATACTCGTTATATCTTGAGTTCAGCTCGTTAAAGTTAGACTCGATTTGCTAAAAGTTTAAAATCTAAATATTTATAGTTCGAACTCGACTTGACTCGTTTTTATGAATAATATTTTACGCAACACTAATATTTATAACGGAAGGATGTGGAAATTAAACTCTAGCCATACCATGGTTTCATTAGTTACCAACAAGTGTTAATTGCAACATTAACAATAATTTGAGTTTCATTTTATTTGATTGTTGTGATAATTGGATTTAGGAGTGAACAACGGTGCGGTTCGGTGAAAAATTGCACCGAATGCGGTTCGGTGAAAAATTGCACCGAACCGCAAACAACCGAAAACCGGACTTGGCCAAAAAAATAACCAAACCGCACCGCAATTTTAGAAAAACCGAACCGAAATTTTTATACACTAAATTGACCGAACCGAATCGAACCGCACGACACGGTTCGGTTTTTGTTTTATCTCAATTTTCATATATACTATATGCAATTTGGTGCGGTTCGGTGAAAAACCGCCGAACCGAGCAAAATCAAAACCAAACTTATGAGAAATTATAATCGCACCGCACCGCAATGAAGGGAAAAAGCCGAACCAAACCGATTTTTTTTATATTAAAAAAACTGAAACGAAACGAATCGAATTGCACAGTTCGACTAAGTTTTTTTGGTTTCGTCTCGGGTTTGCTCTCTAATTGGATTAAATCTTGAATGATTTGAATAAAAAAAAAAAGAAAATAATAGAATCTACCGGTTTTGCTATGGAGCCATTGGATAGCTCGGCTTATGGAGTCATCCATAGTTATCAACAAATTGTATATTGACACGTGTCCTGCAATAAATACAAATTGGACACGTGTCAATATATAAAGTTATAGATGGTTCCATAAAAGAACCATCCGATGGCTCCATAGCATTTATGTAAAATCTACATAGGGATGTAAATGGGTCGGGTTGGGTACGGGTTTTGGTAAACTCGAACCCGACCCGCATATAATTTACCCTACCCAAACCCGACCCGTTACCCGACTAGTGATCTTCGGGTTCGAGTTGGGTTTTACCCGGTGGGTTAGTGGGTTTTCGTCGGGTAAACAGGTAACCTGAGTCTTAAATTTAGGTTTTTTTCCGACCCATCTCATTTCATATGAAAAATAAAATAAAATAATTTCACAATTAATTATAATGTAAGAAATAATTTATTAACTAAGTTTGACAATAAAAACTATAAAAAAATATATTATTTTTGCAATAAATAATAAGATATGATTATTTATTTTTTATAATCGATTTAATATTATAACATTTAAACTTAAATATTTATTTTTTTATTATACAATTAACAAAAAAATAATAAAATTATAATAAATAAAATAAATTTAACCCTTAATAAATATTCTAATAGATAATCTAATTTTTAAAAATAACACATGACTACTTTTATATTTATTATAAGTTATAAATATATATATATGTATATGTATGTATATATGATTCAATGGTTGCGGGTAAATGGGTAGGGTAATCGGGTCGGGTAATGGGTTTGCCTATTATACCCGCACCCGACCCGAAACCCAATCATCTTGAGTTTACCCGACCCAAAAAATGCGGGTAACCCGACCCTATGGGTTTTATTGACATCCCTAAATCTACAGTCTACACGCCCCTATATAGTATTGTCGGGCTCCTTTTCCCCTTTATTAGAGGAAGCTTCAGCCCTTCGATTTGGGTTGCGCGTCGCGATGGATTTGGGCTTAAATATCCAGTTGGTCTTATCGGACTTCATGGGAGTTGTCAGTGGTATCTCCCTCCATCATGAGCTTGACCTTTTGTTTGGAGTGTTCGATGACATTTTAGGACTTTTGTCTTTATTAGATTGTGGTCGGTGTGAATATTTACCTAGGGATCGAAATAGAGTAGCTCACAACATAGCAAGGTGGACGATCTCTTCGCATTCTTCGAGTGTTTGGAGTGATTTCATCCCTATTTGGTTCTCTTCCTTTCTATTGAAGTGAGTTTGCGCCTTGCCATCCTGCTATCGGATGTACGGACTAATGTCCTCTTTTGTTCAGTTTTGATTTAAGTGCAAAAAAAGATAAAAATAAAAAATAAAAAATAAATAAATAGAATCTAAATTGAGAGATTTTATTATAACAATAACTTATAAAAAAATATATATATATTGGATTTAATTTCCTATCTCAATATTGACTCAAAATCGACACAGCCAAACGACCCCTTAACCGGTAATAAGGTTTCTCTTGTGAAAATCTCCGTCTCTACGCTCTGAAATCTGAATCAACAAACGCAGTATTTGTGCGCGGGTCTCAATTTTCGATATACTTTCAGGAAAAGATAAGCATGGACAAGGGCAAAGCGGTGGTGGGCTCCGGCCGCCGGTGGGCTGTGGATTTCACGGACAACTCAACTTCGCATTCATCGCGTGATATTCTTGATCCGCCGGGATTCACTCGCGCTTCCCAAGAACAGGTGTGTGTGTGTGTGTGTGTGAATTGTTCTACAGGATTTATAGTTTGGTCGGTTCCTTTTTCTCGGTCTCTGGACTTGATTAAGTGTTGTTATTTGCCCCTTTTTTCGAGCTAGGATGATGCAGCTGTGAGCAAACAGAAGAAGGACGCCGAGGCCAATTGGAAAGCCCAGGTAAAGTTCTTTGCTTCCCAGTAGCTTACGATGAATTGGGTTTTGTTGGAAGGTTTTGTGTGAAATGGATCTAATTGATGTTGAATTCATGTTGATGGGCCATGATGGAAATTGATCAGAAGAGTTGAGTTTCCTTTCTGTTCTTTTTTTTTTTTTTTTTTTTTCCTCCAACGATTTAGTTTACAACGGGCGAAGTTCTTTGCTTTCTAGTAGCTTAACATGAAATGGGTTTTGTTGGGAAGGTTTTGTGTGAAAGGGATCGGATCGATATTGAATTCATGTCTATGTTGAAAAGAATTGGGATGAATTAGAAGAGTTGAAATTTCCTTTCTGCCTTTTGGTCCTCGAACGATTTAGTTTACATCGAGCTGTGAAGCTGTCCCGGCAGCTTAAAGTTTACTAGTAGTTGAATTTTTACGTCTCGATAATATTCTCATAGATTTAAGGGAGAACTCTAAGGAGAAAGATAACTTTTTCATGATCTGAACTGGTGCAACTTTGTGCTTAAGGTTCTACACGTTTTATTCTTTCTCCGCATTTTCAACCTTATGATCCAAGGTAATAGATTTGTAAGAATAGATTTTATTTTTCTTTTATTATATGTTTCCTTTTATTAACAAGTAAATATGCTAGTGTGAGTTTTAAGTATCTCCAGTAGCTGGTGCTTCAGTTTTGAGTCTTGGTAGTTTTCTACAGTAGCCTTCTGATTAAATCCTGCTTAATTTGTCGAGTCTTGATGGATTTCATGTTCTTACAATTGTATTCATTTGTATGAGCAGAAAGCATGGGAAGTTGCACAAGCGCCCTTTAAGAATCTGTTCATGATGGCATTCATGATGTGGATGGCTGGAAGCACGGTTCATCTATTTAGCATCGGCATAACATTTTCAGCTCTCTTGCAGCCCATTAATGCCCTTCGCGGGGTAGGGAAAGGTGAGCTTCAATCTCAACATATGCTCTTGGATATAAAATATTTTGATTTTGTTTGGATTTTTTGGTTTGGTATGATTAATTTTGAAAAAAGTGGTATGATTAGTTGTTAGTAGGATTTTGGGTTTATCTTAAAATAATTAAAGTTTATTTGATGTAAAAGTATGAGAGAGATGATGTGAAGTGACGATTTGTTAAAATTATGTGAGTGGATGAATAGTGAATTAAAGTTGATGGGATGTGTAAAAATAATTGAGTGGTATTATTTAATTATATTGATAATATTGAAGATAGTGGGGTTTAGTTAAAGTTGAGTTAGAAAAAGTGATTTGGTTGAAAATGATTGGAATTTTTTGGAAAAATTTGTATCCAAGCATCCCCTTACTGGCCATTAGTTAAAGATTCGCTGGTTCTTTAATGCGACTCTAAATGTGGCGCTTGTTATTCAAGAACAGCATATAGAAATATTTTGTATTGCCAGTAATAACTTTATATGGTTGTTACCTTCTCGTATTTTAGCTTCATCAGTTAATCTGTCACACCATATGTTTGATTAATCAGGATCGTGATGTTAAAAACCTTGATTTTTCGTCACTATTGGAATTTTCCACCTTTGCTTATTATTCGTAACTATTAAAAATTGCTTCCCGTTTGCATTGTGTGCAGTTTTCGAGCCATACAAGGACAACAAAGTTGATCTAATGGCGCCTAAATTAGTATTTATCGCTCTTAATTTGGTGGGATTAGGTCTCGGTGTCTGGAAGGTTTGTTTTCTCTGACCTATAATAAAAGTACTTGCAGACCCTTTGTGAAGCATTTATGCATGGGTGCCGAGTTTCTTATTTATTTATTTTTTTAATACATGTTGTGTACAGCTTAATACGCTGGGTCTTCTTCCAACACATGTATCAGATTGGGTTTCTTCATTGCCTCCCCCACAGGTTTTTATGCTCCTGAAATTTCGTTTATTTTGATACATGAATTTTACGTTCTTCAATAATTATGTAAGTTGATGAATTTAACTTGCACTTAAAAGGGATACTGTGAAAAAAAAAAATGAGAACCAACTGAGTTGATAAATGTGGCTTGTATATTCTTTTGATATGAGTACAGTCGTGTTATTTGAATACATGAAGCTTATAAGCTAAATAAATAAGCTATAAGTTAGCTTATTTGGTTACCAAACATAGCTTAAAGCTCATAAGTAATCCTGAAGTACGCTTCCTGTATTATTTTTTTTTGGGAAAATCTTTTTGAAACAAATATGTACATATAACCCAAAATTTTCATCTTGCATTTTGCAATTTTGCCTACACCTTTCAAAATGTTTTCACTAAGCGAAACGAAAAACTTGTGGCTATGTTTGATATCATGAAAGTGAAACCATCAACATACATCTTGCCACCTATCGGTTGAGATCAAATCTAAACTCGAATCAAACCTTAATGTTGATTTTATTTTTCAAATCAAGTTTTTTTTTT